TCTTTTCAGCTGATTGTGCAGGAATGGAGACTGATAACTAACTACACATAGTTTTATAATGATAGGATGTGCAGTCAACTGAAGACGAGACCTTGATTCTAAATAAATGACTTAATCGGGCAAAGTCACTGAATGGAAAGCTCAGGAGCAGTGGCAATCTGAATCTGTCTGCTGAACAGAGACGATTCGTGTTAACAGTCAACTCAAGTCACATTTTCAGAGTCATATATCCTATTTTCAGATTCTATGTATGCTAAGTGTGTGTGTGTGTATGTGTGTGTGTGTGTGTGTGTGTGTCAAAACTGTGTGGTTATCAGTCTACACTATTTGCTACTTATATTATAAACTGGCAATGTTATCATTCTATCTGTCACTGAAGGAGGTCATGTTTTCAGTATCCTTTTGTCAGACTGATAAAAGTCTATCTGTCTGTCTGTTTGTAAGTGGCTATGATATCTAAAAAGTTCCTAACACATTTAGTTTAAATTTTAAAGAAATACAGATATTCAGATGGGAAAGAAATAATTACAACTTCGCCTGAATCTTGGGTCTCCTAATATCTTTAAAAAAATTTGTTTTTATCTTAGTTTTAGATATCTTTTTCAGTCAATAAATGTTTTTCCTTAGTGGAGGGCTGTCTTTTTGAAGTTCTCATTAGTTGCTACTGGTATTCACTACACAGTGTTAAAAAGACAAATCTATATTGACATTTTCAGTGTCCAAAGAAAACTAAATATTACAAGTAAAGGTCACACCAGTTGTAGCTTGATATGAAAAGGATAGAGTTCAGCACTGTTCTCTGTGAACTGCATTCATCTGAACTTGCTCTAGGAAGTTGGTAGTCTGATTCTCATTAATCATGCGTGTCACAATGGGGTACCTCTGTAATCTACAGGTCAGTGACCATTCTGACCATTCAACTCAAAGATAAAAAATATTATCTGGTAAAAAAAGTGTTTGGTGCAATTCCAGTGTCTACCTGATTTAGGTCCTTCATGGTTTTAACCAAAACTTCACTGGACTCTGTTTAAAAAAATAAGAAGAGAACAGCAAATTGTTTTCTTGTGTAACTTGTTTAATGAAAATGGACTTTCCCTGTAAGTAGATCTAATCACCTTGCAAAAGAACAGGATTATCAGAGTATCTGGTTACCCATGTTGTTCTGGTATCAAACCATTTCATAAGCGGTTTTGACTGGAATGCGAAAGTTTTTTCCCCAATAAGTAATAAAGCTAATCTTAGGCTGTGTGTTCATGTAATCTGATCATCATTTTTTGATTGGTTTACACATCTGCGCATTTTTCCAAGAATTCAAATTCCTAGAAAGAGATAAAGGTGAAGAAATTTATGCAAATAGAAAAAAAATGCCATTTCTACCATTTCATATAAACTGCAGTGTCAAACCAATGGTCCTCCAACATTAAAAGCATTTTGTACAGAAAAAATTATATAATATTATATATATTGAAGTTCCTTTTTGTTTTTTTGCATGATCAAAATTGGTAATTAATTAATTGATTAATTAATTACTTAATTCTTTCTCTCTCTCTCTCTCTCTCTCCC